AGGTACATCACATTAGTGCGGGAGTTTCAAGTCTGTGCGGAACGTTACACCGTGAACCGATCTGAACTACACTTAGAGGATATGAAATCGACTCTCTGGGAAGAACCTTAGTCCGACTGAAACATGAATCCGGACCTTTGGCTGACTCGAGCCTTTAATGTTCTTTGCAACCGAATAGTTTCCGAAATTGTTAGTTCATTCCAAAAGTTGACCTTGAAATTTATTTCAAGGTGCGCACTATAGCATCACAACACCGCGCAGCACGTAGTTCATCCGAGATGCCCGACGGTTGTGTTATTACCGAAAGCATCAGAACAACAGCATTTGAAAGCCTCTATGATACTATTCGTGAAATAGGAAGGTAAAATATCTTCTCTTTGGTTTGTTTTCGAATACTAATGAATTGGCAGGCGACCCTTTCAGCCTATGTAAGTGATGTGATTTTAGCAAATGAAAGATAGTCTTCAGTGGCTCAAGCTCATATGTAGCCTCCTGTTTAGAAACTGGAACTGGATACATGTTTTGTGTGAAAGTGATTCAGAAAAAGGTCAGTCATCTATTTAAAATAAATGTTTTATTGGAATATATTATACATATATAGCCTATGCCGTATTAAATTGATATTGATGTAATGATCATATTGAATTATTAGATTTTTGTTCACGAACAAAATTCTTCTAAATTTTAGGTTCAACTAATCCGAGGCGCAAAAGATATCAAAATCTTGTTGAAGCTAAATCACGAAAATATAGTGAGTGAAAAATAATTTTCCTCAAAAATTTATAATTATTTAATTGCTTTAGGTTCGGCTAAAAGAAGTTTTTGAAACAGATGCATCGCTTTATGTGGTGATGGAACATGTAAATGGCGAAGAACTTTTCAGGAGGTAAAATTCGATGTTTCATTTTCAATCGTGTACAATAATCTAATTTACACGTCGCATACGCAGATCTAATATTTTTACTTGATTTACTTAGGGGTGGTTATCATGGTGATTAGGGATACATCTCTGAGGCTACTGAGCCTGGAGGCCTTGCCCCACCATTTTCGTAGTACTTCAGGATATTCTGCATCAATTAACTATTGGGATAGCTCATACCATGATAAATAAACGCAAACTATCTCAACGCTCCCGATTACGTTGGAAAGCAATACGAATATAGCCCTCAACAATTCAGACAACGCGTGAAGAACGGTTTATAGAGCGAGACCTCCAGGGCAAAGTTTACATGTGTAACGAGACGGCGTAACTCAATGAGCCAAGGGAAGATTCCGCAGTTGAGCGTACATAGTTGTGGTGCACCTGATGAAACAGCCTGTTTTGAGTCAAAGGGGATTCTCAGATAAAAAGATAAAACACAGTTTCACCCCAAATCCCCGTATAGAGCAAATTTAAAGAGGAATCTCGCTAGTCGCAGAAGATTATCAACCTCGACGGAACTCGCTTTCCGTCATAAACGTGGGAGAGATAACTGATACGGCGATTAAGCGGTGTTGGGACGACCAGTTAGGGGGCTCTTGATGGCTGTTAGGTTTGACTGACTCTTTGTCTCGTCGAACATCCTTGATTCTGCGCTCCAGAGAGGAGAACTATCGACTGCATACTGCGTGACCCGCAGACTCCAGTGCAGATGTTTGCAAACGGTGTTTAAGCCCTGTACCAGTAATAAATTTCCCAGCTTCAGGCAGATATGGGCAAGATAAACAAATTGAGTATACTGTGGGAGATATCAATGAAACTAAGCAAATGTAAACAGTTGTTATAAAAGAAATTCCGTTGACCATCAGAGACTAATCAGAAACAAAATCGTTAGATTCCTGAAGACTGCCGTTGTTGAATCTACAAAAGTGTCTGGATTTTGCTCATAAATATAACGCCGCACTTCGGAATCTTCTGTGGCTGGGAGGTGAGTGTGTTGATGAAATCATACCAAACGCCTGCCAAACGGGAAAAAGAGTACTGCGCATCAATCTAAGTGCTATCTTTATTGAAGAACGCAACGTTTATTGTGCCTGTCCAACTAAGGTTCTAGAGGATGATAAAAACAAGAGTATGGCGAAAATCTAAGGTAAGAGAATTTTTGATTCCTTAATAAAAGAAGAATGTGAAGAGGATGACTTACATAAAGCTAAGCATCTATTCCGTAACAAAAACATTGCTTCTGAGATGATGTTAAAACATTCACTGGGAGGTTAATGTCTGCAATTTAACGAAGCTTTAGTTGACGAGGTGTGTTTGAGCCAATTCATTTGTCCATTTAGCAATAAACTCGTGAAAGCGGTCACTACTAAAAGTTGCAGCAGGTTTGAGATCATCAGGCATCAAACATCCCTGCTGCAGTTTGCACTTGGTTGTGCAATGGCTAGAGATGCGCCCTCAAAATAAAAAAATGAGTGACGCTGAGGAAATCTCGTAATAAACCCCCAAGGAAATTCACGACCACTATCATGTCTGGAGCCGGCTTATCCTTTCCAAGATGCCAGCTGCAGTAAAGTAAAAAGTAGGTATTCAGGCGAATCATGGTTGAATGTAACTAGAGACGAATCGTAAATTCTAAATGCCTTGGGCCACCACATACTCATGATTTTCCGTTAGCGATTCATTTGAGTACCTGAAATTCTCATTGTCATCTGTTATCTCTGTAGTCCGATTTCTTTACTACATTCAGATAGCGTCAGATTTCAACAATTCTCCCGCTTTGTTGGGACATTGTTCAGAGCTTCAACTTCACTTTTGCTTTTTGTTAAAGTGGTGTGCAATTTCAGCTAGTAAAACTAAAATAGCGGTGGAGATTTTTAGTTGACGTTATCATGCCCGATTTACTCCCCATTGCCCCATGCGCAGGTCGGAAAATAACAGATAACAGGAAGACTTCATAGCACGGTGAAAAACTGGAGCTCATAGTTTAAGAAACTACACTGAATGTAATCTTCTTTACCTCCATCCGATGCTGTTATCTGAATAAATAATTCTTTCCGTCCCGGCACTGCCTTGTGCAATTATAAAACTTGGTTTTGATTTAATGTGACATATCTTATTTGTATCTGATCAAACTCAGGCAGCATATGAAACACCCAAACGTTCTATGAGTGTATCTTTAAATGAGGAACACTCAATGAAATTCTTCAACTTATAATTACTAGTAGTTAAGAACTGCAGATATAATAATAAGGCTTTCGACTGGAGTTACCAGATTGTCATCTGTGTCTCCCTCCGTTGCTGTCGAGCAAATGAACTGACTTACTATCACTGAAGAAAACACCTAAATAAACATGAACTGGCAATTTGGTTCAGCCATGGCGTAAGCTGGTTGGCGTAGTGGTAACAAAGCCTTCCTTGCGACTGGTTCGGAGTTCAAATCCCAGACGGGACGATGGATATGCACTGCTAATCAGCTCTACTGAGAGCGAAACTTGAGTCTAGTGCTTCCGAGTGTATGGTTGAATCGATGAACTGAGGATTGTGCGTGAAGGTGAAGTCCAAAGGATAGTCAGTCAAATCAATCCATAAAAATAAGAGTAATTTCGTGCAAACATAATTTTAGGTTTGTCCAACATAGAAACCGTAATTATTTGCTGCTCTCCATTGTGTGAATAATATCAGGCTAAATTTTGTAAGTTTTTGATGGATTCACGAGATAATGAACAGAACCATTTAACATTTTTAAACACGTAACCTTATTCACACATTCCTCCCCAAAGATTTGAAGTGTATTTAATTTGAGTACGAGGTAGTGTAAAAATCAAATACACTGGTTAGTTGAACTTGTTTTACCAAGAAATAAATTAATGAAATGACGAAATGAATTATTCAAACTTTCGGAGATGAAGCAAAATTCGAAAGTAAATTTTGGCGAAAACAACATTTCGGAAAATTAAAGGGTAGAATATGTTCGCCAGCATGATGCTGATGCAATCATACTAATAGAAGAGAAGTACATTTCGGTCCAAATGAGAAAACCTATTTTGGAGAACCATGCGAACAAAAAAAATGCGGTTTATTTGTTTAAGTGAATAACTTTCAGGATTGTCATTACGTTAAAATCCTCGTAAAAATAAATTATGCTGCAACTTCCATTATTGCTTGATGAATGTACAAATGCACGGTCAATTTTCACAATGGAGCCTGGGGTAAAGTAAGATCGCCTTAGGAAAAGATAGAAATGCGTAGATAAGCAGTAATCGATGGCTCTGATCTCGTCTTTCCGGGTTGATATCTTAACGGTATTAGCCAATTGAACAAAATATGCTTATTTTAAACTACATATAATATTTGATCAAGAAATAATATGTTTAAAGTATTTTGTTATTTGTGTGATACTCAAGTAAATTTATATGACCAGTATATACTACACTTGTGTCAAGTACACTAAATACAGAACAGTCAAACTGAGAATAGCATGAATGGATTGGAAATAAAATTCAACCATAAAAGATAACAAAGTTCAAGGTGTCTTGTACGTTTGGCTGTTCTCCGTGGGAATCTTCGTTGTCTTTCACAGATTTAAATATATGCTAAAAATTCATTCTATGAACTGAAAAATGCCAATTAAATTTTTTCTTGTAAATTTGAAATAAAGATCACTGAATATATTCTGGTTAGTGTGATTGTATATTAACACACCTCCCTGTAAGTTTATTCAAATGATGTATGCAAACCAATAGCGGTAACCACAGATTATTTACTGTAATCACCATCTGCATTTGAGAAAAGTACAAAAATCACTATGTACTTTATATTTCTAATTCTCCCTAGGTATTGTATGATAATAAATAATACCAAATGTCATTAAAGTAGGACGACCTTTCAGTTGTGTTGTCATGATATAATATTATTTTTCTTCGCTTTGTACTCACAGACTGAGTTCTCTTCCTTTTTATACCGAGCAAATTGTGGCTCATTATCTTCGACAAATTACCGACGGTATTCGATTTCTTCACGAATACGGAATCGTGCACAAGAATCTTAAAGTGAGTTCAAAATTCCTTCATGCAGATACGTTGGTCTAGTTACGAAGATTGCACTTCAAGTCGAGTCAATAATTCTCCGTAGAGACAGTTAATATTGAGCACTGTGCTCTTGCAAAGCATTTTATTATTGTTCACAAAATTATGAAAACAATACAGGATGAGATTGCAAACATGTTTCATGATACTACGATTTAACACATTTCTTTACATGTCTTTCCTTCAAAGTGATTGAGTCTAAAATGTGAGAAACCTTTCTAGATTAAGAACAACAGATTAACAAAGGGGGAGGACTGGGCAACAGGAGATAAATGGTGATGCAAAAGTTCTATATACTAGAAATCTTTTCAATCATACTATTTTCGCAAGCGGCAAAGTGTTCTTTACTGCGTAGTCCAATCTCCTGAAATGTAAAATATGGGGAGCTTCTTAAATGGTTCAAACGTGTATGTATGATCTTTGCTCTGCAGACTAACAAAAATTACAGGTAGATTATTATAAAATATTGTTGATTTGCAGGATTAAACAGCACCATCGGTTGGTTGATCCCAAACTACTTTCAGTCACATGTAGTATATGAACTCGTTCAAAAGTACGTAGTACTGTTATAAATCTACAAGGCGGTGCCCGGACACTATACCGCTCAATCACTGTGATTCTCAAACACTGAATTTGCACATTTTCACAGATGGAGCGTATTTCTGCATTCGCGAAGAAGTAACTCGGTGCTGGGTGAAACAGTTTTACGGAGTGCATGATGAAGATGAATGTACATCAGCTCAAAAGCTGTGTTCGTGTTCACAAGTCCGGGACAAGTTCAAATTCCATTGTTACGGATTGAATGCTATTCAGGTCGAACATATCTATATCTACATTCACAAAGGAGCATGAACTTCATCAACTGTAATGGCGGGAATCAATATAATTATCGAAGTGGCGATGAACGGTTTGAATGGTTGTGCTATCACTTGAGAGTCATTTCTTCGCTCTTAGTTGGAATAAGTCAGCCAAAAAGATGACTGTAGGATACGAACAAACTGCAGACAAGCCCTTTTGATTTAATTGCACAATAGGTTCCACTAATCGCAGAATTCACGTACTGTCTGAAGAAACGAAGCCGAAGCTACTCAACGAGTGGCGTTTTGATAGAGCTTCCCATGGATCTCATGAAACGCTCTCGACTTTCTACTAAGCCACTGGAAGCTAGGTGATGAAATTACATAATTCCAAAGCAAGGAAAAGTGCGGTATACTTGTAGAACTGGTTTTAACAAAACTCGGCTGATCAAAAATTTATGTTCAGTAGGATGCAATCAGCAAAGTAAAATATAAAGTAGTATATTGGAGAAATTCACGATTGATTGTGAAGAAAAAGCGGACAAAAATAACGTCAAAGGCTGCTTTTTTTCTTCTTAAACTTAATACTACTTACTGCAAAGCGTATGGTTAATTGGGACCGAGTAAACTCCGGGTTTACCCGTTTACTCGTTGTAGATGTTTCCACCGAACCTGAGCAAAGCCGTACAATACCAATTTAACTTGCCTTTGTGTACTACAGTTTCTTGCTTAGTTAAAGGTCTACTGAATTTAATAGTTTAGATTGCTAGATAAGAATCGTTGAACGGGATTCGGTAAATTGCTTCCAATTAAACCCCAAGGTTACTGATGCGTTTTTAGTCCGAAGACTCGGTATTTCTTGCTTCCATTCCCTGCAAAGCGTATTCAGTACCAAGGTGACAAACGTATCGAATACATCAACTTGGGAATACTAATAAAAAGATAAGGAAATCCCTACTGGTGAGATCCTTTCATCTTTGTCGTCACTCAGTTATTAGCAATCTGGGTATTTTTGATACCGATTAACGGGGAAATTAGTATCTGTATTCTTACCTCTGATAATCTTTACTTGTTTTATTTTGCAGCCCGAAAACATTCTTCTCAGTTCGGTTCAACCGGAAGCCATTATAAAGATTAGTAAGTTACAGATTCACTGAATACTAGTAGCATTGTCAGTAAATTTTTTCGCCAATTAATATGACTACTATAAGAAATCCCTTGCTGTAGGTAAAGCACTGGGTGAGTGAACTGAAGGAAACTCAATATACGAAACCCTCAACCCCACTGAGCAAATGGAGCTGTGCAAATTTGTCAATAATCCAGCCGGAGCTGTCACAAACAAAACCCAACCGATCCTCGATCGATCGGCAGAGCAGACTGTCGTCTCACTTGGCTTATATACTACATCACGCATTCCATACCAGTAACCTTATTGCAAGTTACTGTCCTCATTTATTCCGGTAATGGCCTCCCGATATCTTTTTGACTTGAGAAAAAATATTACTTATCGGGTAATGATCAAACAAAGGGATTGAAGGAACCAAACAGCGGTTTGTAGTACGCCAATTTAGGCTTTCTTTGTTCCATAGAGGACCTTCTTCATTCCTTTGTGGAATTAAATCCTCCGCTATTTTCCAGTGTTATAAATCCACAATACCGTTTCCCGATTGGAGAGAATCGTAGAAGGCTAGATTGACATGGTTGGTGGGTAAAATGGGTTACACAGACCAATATGGATAGTCTGAAAAAGCCAAGTCACAGTTTCATGAAAGGCTCTGAATCCGCGATCAAGCGGTGCTCCAGTCTGTTCGCATTTTCTGTTGCTATAACATTAAATCCCCTTATCTGATCTAGGATACCCGGTTAATTTTTGAATATTGTAAGAATCGCCAACCGATATCCCGTGCTACTTAAATAATGTGACTAGTACCTCACAACACTAGTAGTGATTGGAGCTGTGTTTTACCGACGATAGAAGTTTTGTGCAAATTATCATATATTTATTGTATGTTTACTATCTTGAAACCGAAACCACTCTATATTTTTATAAATTCACTTTTTCTGGTCACAAAAGTATCGCCCGTACTGATCAGTTATCCGTCTCGATCGAAATTCTTACTTCTCCGCAGATGAAATCCCAATAATTTGAGCAGGTAGCAATCTATTGCACTGCAACACAATCTTGCACAGTCTGTGATAAGTCCCTCACACCCACATTGATATGCTTTTGTGAAATATACCTGAAGTCAAATCTTCACAGGCAGTTACAGTTGAAACACTTTCATGTTACTTGTTACCATTTGTTGTATNTACCATTTGTTGTATTTGGTTTTACAAATCCGGGGTTAACAAGAGTTTTATTTCGTTGTCAATTATCCTCACCAGAGTCTAAAAACGTTTCAACATTTTATAATCGGTCATTAAAGCGAAATGGATTCAATGACAGTCAGTCATCTATTTTACTGGAGCAAACTGTTTGCGAACGATTTCTGCGAACGGTCGCATATTATGTTTGGCTGATCCAGCACAGAACCATTTGAACTTCTGTCGCCCTTTCTCTCTCTCACTCGACCATATTCAATGCAGCTGATGCGGGTCTGGACAGTTTCATACTGGAAGACATGGACATGGAATTAGTGTGCTGTAATACAATATACTGTCCACCGGAATTGTTGCTCAGTCGAAAATTTGACAAAACATTTGATCTGTGGTCACTAGGTATAATACTATACATCATGTAAGTGAGTTTTGTTCTGTGTAATTAAAATGCATCTCTGATTTTTCATTAATATTCTTAGAGAACATGGCCATCAAGTTCATTACTTATGGAATATTAGCTCAGAAGGTCGGGTTGTGTTGTATGTTGGAAACTGGGTGTAATAACACGGTTTAAAGATTTGACATAAAAAGATGTGTATTTTATCATTTGATGAAATACTGAAGGTATCCTTGCTTACTAACTTGTATGCTCTGCATAGTTTCTACGGTATGTGTCCTTCACGTTGACTGGACATTCAAATGCTTGCTGTATGAAGATTATCACCGTCCAATATAGCTGCCATCAAATCATGTGATCGTGTGTCCTTGACGTCGATTGGTCGTTTAATCTATCTGATTAGCTACGTTGTTGTGTAGCATTCCAACGAATGATCGTCCTTACTTCAGTAAGCCGCAATAGTTCCGATATATAAATAAAGATATTTTGAGAGGCAATATGCGAATATATTTTATATGATCACCGGTTAAATCAATCCGCCGCAAACAAGAGAAAGATGATAACCTGGCAGATATTAACGGAAGCAAAAAATTCAAAATCATCATCATCATCATTAATTTAAGTCTCTGATGAATTCGTAAACATTGTCTTTGATTCGCACCCCCAGTTGGTTATGTACTCAGTGATTCGATCGAATTCCTTGATGCGTTTGATTGGTTCATTTTGTCCCAGCTGACGTGTAGATAGGTACATCATTTTTCACAAACCGAGGGGACTTGTCCGTGTTACCGTATCTTTTAATAACCATAGATAACTTTTTGCTTTTATTAGTAACAGATGAAACACAAAGATTTTGTTCGTCTGCGATTCACATGCTTAGACCATCTGTAACAAACATACAGAAAGTTCGAAGTAAATGTCTTTGGCAAACCTCCGATCTCATTATTTTCATTTTCAAGCCCATAAAAGTGCAATGATATAGAACATAATAAGGTGGGATGTATCCTACTTGTTTCTACTCCCTTTGGGGATAGGATTACTAAATTTTGATAAACTTAATCAAGGAGTAGTGAAAAATTGGACGACCCTGCGCTCAATTCTCAAATCTCTCGTGAATTTCAACATAATGATAACTGTGACCGAACGGAAATTCCATATATGACATTTGGCCCACATTCTCTGCATCAAATTATCACAAAGTGATTATTCGAAAGTAATGTTTATTATACCAATTCTTAATGAATTTTTGTGTTTCAGATTATTACCATTTTGTTGTTTTTGAGACAAAGTCCAAATTCAAAAGTAAAGTTTGCCATTTTACAGATTAAACTTGTAAACAATGACATGTCTTGTGATGATCAATAAAGGGAAGTGGACAGTTGTTTCATCCTTATTTTGGACTCATCAGCCGTGCGTAATATTTTGCGTTCCATTAAGGACCCTGGTATCTGAAATATTTAATCCATTCCTTCCTTCGATCGTGTAGCTCCGAGGTAAGTGGTTCTACCCCCCGGAACGAGATACGATAGGGACACTACCCACTTCTGATGAGTTCCAAAAGTCGAACCAAATAGCCGACCACTGCTTTCTGTTGACCATCCGAAATAAAATACTATGGAATTTAAAAATGAATTATCGTTTACTGAATGAACGAACTCTCAGCGAGTGAGATCACAATTCATAAACTCTGGTTAGTTTATTTGAAATCACAGGAGGAAACAACAGGTCTGTATATGTATGTGAGGAACGTTTTAGGGTTTTTGAAGTGAAGTTTGCGGAATGCAGCTGAAACTCCATTTCGCCTGTTCGCCGAGCTTGGCAATTTGTTTGCAAACGTTTCATCACCAGCCGAGGTGACATCATCAGTGCTTGTGAAGTG